TGGGCTCAACCGATCCTCCTGCCTCAGCCTCCCAGGTAGCTGGGACTACAGGCATGCGCCACCATGCCCGGCTAATTTTTTCTCTATATATATATTTTTAGTTGTCCAGATCATTTCTTTCTATTTTTTAGTAGAGACGGGGTCTCGCTCTTGCTCAGGCTGGAAGAGTTGATTTCTCATTTGTGTAGTTTGTATTCTTGGAGGAGTCCTATTTCATTCATTTCTTCATTTCCGTCTTTATTCTCCTTACATCCTGTAATGGAGAGCTCACTACTTTATAAGATATCCCATTGAAATTTCAGATAGCTCTAGTCATTCAGGGTTTTTAAATTAATTTATTTATTTTTGCTTCTGTTGAGTTGAAATCTGCTTTTCAGTAGTTTACACACATTGGTTCTGGCTCTGCCCTTTGGAGTGGTACAGAACAAGCATAACATAACAAAAGCACCTTACCCTGACAGCTTGAAACTGCCAGGGTGTCTGTTCTGGTTCTTTCTTCTTCCCATCTGTGAGCCACACTAGGCAATCCGCTTAATCTTTCTGTGACTCAGCTTCTTCATCTACAAAATTGGAAAGAATAGTATTACGTACCTTATAGGATTGGTGAGAGGAGTAAATGTGTCAATGAGTCAACATATGTAAGGAACTTGGAATAGTGCCTAGCACACAGAAAGCGCTCTATAAGCATTAACTATATAAGAATAATAATAATAGTATGACATAGTGCTACTAATAATACTGATTAACATTCTTTTAATATTAATATTAATTGAGCACTTTTTGCCAGGCATTAAGTATTTTCAATATACTATCTCACATAATCCTTAAACAGTTATGTTCTTACCAAGACTTTTTTTAAGGTTTAACCTCCCCGCTTATTTCAGCTATTTCTGCTGTGACATATTTTTTGAAAGTCACTCACCATTCTACATGTTCCCGAATTTGTAAATGTCTATGAAAATACTGAATCTTCTGCTCAATGTAGAATGGCATGATCTTATTACCCCCTTCATTCTAGGAAAGGCTTTATACATCTATAGGTGCATCCTAAGATCGTAGTAGACTTTGTGAATGCCAGATCACACAATTGAATCCAGTTTAAGTTACAGTCAACTGAGACCCCCCCAAATCTGTTTCAGATATCCAGCTGTTAATACACTTCTATAAATCATTGTAATTTTAACTCAAGTACAGAAGCATCTATTTTTTCCAGGTTAAATGTTGTCTTGTTAGATTCACTCCCTTATTCTTTGAATCCAGATTCTGCATTCAGTATGTTAGCTATAAAATATTAAGTAAAGCATGCCATTAGTCCTAAATAGGATGATAAAGTCAGCAAGCTCAGGAAAGATCTAGGGAGGATCTCAGCAGACAATTCTGAGTCTAAGTGAAAAAAATTCCTTCTCCTGTTGTATGTGGCAGCCAGGAGTATGCCCTGCCAACCCAGTTCCCCTCTCATCTCTCAGTGCAGCTTTTCACAGTGGGATTGCTTGCTTTCTAGTGCTGCTGATAGAAGACACAATTGTCCCCTAAAGCTCCCAAACCAGTATAATTAATCTTGATGAGAACATGGTAAATGTGGGGGGCAGATAGGGAGGTGCGAAGGAAATAGAAGCAAGAAAGGAGGAATGAAGACAGAATCTCCATGTGGACTCTAAGTCTGCTCAGCAGTAGTTGATTTTGGGTTTCCTTGAGACAAAGGGCTGTCAAGAGAGAATAAGGTAAAGGTGGCTCTGCCATAGTGACAACTATTTGTTATGAAGAAATGGGTCTGCTACTTGTTTGTGTAGGATTGGGGTTGGAGTGGAAGCTGTGAAACAATCCTTCCTATGAATTTGATTCGATACTGGTGATTTAGGGTCTTATAAGAGCATTGCTTGGCTCATTGTTGCTAGTGAGGGTTTAACTCTAAGGAACCCATTTTAAAGGTGAGATAACTAACCTTTGCAAGGTTACAAATTGCTCCCCTGAAAACATAGATGATAGTAAGTAGCTGAGATGG